TGTCGAGGCAAAGAAAATTGTTTGCCTTATATTTTATCCAGGTTGGGATCGGGTGAGGAAGATCTTGAATTTAATAAAAATGAAGTAATGGATAATGAGAAAGCAGTGGTTTGTTCTCTTTCACATATGCTAAAAGGGGGTCCTACCACTTGGGAAGATCTTAAATTCAGTACCTTGAAAGATAAAGAAGTGAGTCAGATAAAATTATTTTTAACGGGGAAAAAACAGTGGAGAAATAATTTTAAAAGTTTTAAAAAAATTGAAAATGAATTGTCCGTGGTGAATGATTGTTTAATGAGGGGAAATAGGGCCGTAATTCCTTTGAAATTAAGTAGTAAAATTGTTAATTTATTACATGCTGGACATCGGTCGGGATAAGATGAAATCTAGAGCTCGTGAATATGTATGGTGGCCTGGTATGGGCAATGATATTGAAAAGATTACAAGGAAATGTGTTCCATTGACAAAAATAGGATTAAAATAGTAAAAGAAAATAGATGTAAGATGAAGCTACTATTGAGGCCATTCTATATTGAGGATTGCAGAGACTAGAATTAAGTGGTCATTTGGAATCAGGAAGCTTGAATTTCAATAATAATGATAATGAAGGTAATTTTCGTGGTCTTGTAAAATTTAAAACATTAGGGGATTCTGTAAATAGAATTATTTCTGAAAATCCTTGTCCAACAAGGAGAAAGACATTGCAAATAGCTTGTCCAACGAGATAGAGTTTTCGCCATCAAGCAGTGACAGCTTTTATAGGTTTAGAAGAGTGGATTATTAATGCTCTTACTGATATCACAATTGCCTGAAGGAGATATTAAGAAGCAAGCAAATCATTGGATTCAATACTTATACTTTTTTTTCTCATTAGACTTAGATACATTTATAAACCAAATAAATGAACGGGTTTTAATTCATCAGGCAGCACTTAACAGTCTAGTCTTTCCAACCTTTTTCAGATGGTAATAGAAAAAAAATAAAATATTTAATAGATAAATTTTTGAAGATGTTAAAGTATCTTATGATGCCTTATTAGCTGAATGCCAACTATAGTATAAAAAATTAACTATGGTTGATATAGTCCCAAAAAATGCTATGGATGCTTTGCATCATTTCAAACATCTTTAAGATTATTTTCCCAATGTATTAAAATTATTAATATTAGTAACTTTTCACATTAGTACTGCAACTAATGAGAGAACATTCACTTTTTTAAGAAGAATAAAAACATACCTAAGGAGTGCAACTTCTGACAATATTTTGAATATTCATAGGCATTTGATTCCAAGCAAGATGAGATAATTGGAAAATTAACCCAATCCCAATGAAGATTGGATTTTACATTATAAATTTATAATATGCCTCTTAATAATATTTTTTGTGCGATTTATTTTTTAATTATATTTTTCATGAATAATTTTTAAGTTATTACATACAAAATACAATTATTCCTAAAAAACCTCTGTAATAATTTATATTTCCAGCATTTAAATTTTTATACTTTATATATAAATTATAAAGGCTCTAAAATTTAAATTTCTATTTTGGGTCATTTATTTTATAGTGATTTATATGCTGGTTATATCCACTTAATACTTTATAATTCACATTTATTTTGTAGTTTTTCATATGCCGCCGGTTATATCCTTTTAATATTTTTTAAATTCACATTATTTTATAGTTTTCTATATGCCGATTTATATATTTATTTTTTGTAATTCACATTCATTTAAATTCTGTATTAGAAATAGTTACAAGTCCTAAAAAATTTATGCTTGATATTTTTAAATAATGATTTTATTTTTAAAAAATTTAATCCCCCCCTCACACCAAATTCCTGCGTACGCGCCTGCAGAGACGCATATCTACAAATGAATTATTAACAATGGTAACACCAAATGGATACTACCGCTATTTACCATTATCTTCTGGTATAGCTATAGCACCAATAATATTTCAACGATATATGGACGATTTACTGGCTGATTGTAAAGATACAGCAGTTTATTTAGATGATGTTATAATCACAGGAAAAAATGATACTGAACATATAAAAAATATAAAACAAGTCCTCAAAAAATTACAAAATGCGGGATTAAAAGTCAAAACAAGCAAAATAAATTTTATGAAAGAAAAAGTATCATATTTAGGATACATAATTGAAAATGGAATACACCCAGATAAAAATAAAATAATAGCAATAAAAAAATATCCAACTCCATAAGATAGACATGACATAAAATCATTTTTAGGTATATTAAACTATACACGTTTCATATCAAACTTACATGGAATCTTAGCCGAATTACATAATAAAACTAGTAAAAATGTTAAATGGAATTGGACTAAAAAAGATGATGCATTATTTGAAAAAGCACAGAACAATATACTACAGTTTTATAAACCGGACCTCGAGTTAATATTAGAAACAGATGCATCTAACCAAAGATTTGGAGCTGTACTCATGCAAAAATATGATAATGGTAACGAATTCCCAATAGTTTACACCTCGAGAACTTTACAAGATGCTGAAAAGAATTATTCAACAATCGACAAAGAGGCCAAAACTATAATAAACGGCGTAGAAAAATTCTATAACTATTTGTATGGACGAAAATTTAAAATACGAACGGACCATAAACCTTTAATAAAAATATATAGTGATAACAGAGATTTAAGCTCATTAACAAACCAAAGATTATTACGTTGGGCTTATAAATTATCTGCATATGATTGATATAATGTACAAGAATGGCGCTAATAATATAATTGCAGATGCTTTATCGCAAAATCCAATAGAGAAAAATAATGATAAAATAACAAGCGAAAATAAAACAGTGAAATATATAAGAAATCTTACTTATGACACATTAACTCTATCAAGAAAAGAACTTAGAGATGAAACTGCGAAAGATCCAATTTTAAGAAGAGTAAAAATATTAATAAATAGTACAAATATACAAAATCAAACACCAGAATTACAAGCTTTTAGAATAAGAATAGATGAAATAGAAAATGATGACGGTATTTTATTTTGGAATGGTAGATTAATCATTCCATACTCTCTATAAAAAAGAGTTTTACACATATTGCATACGGGACATCCGGGTATTACATCAATGAAATCCATTACGAGAGATTATATATGGTTGGAACAATTAGATAAAGATGTCGAAAAACTAGTAAACAGCTGTAGTGGATGTCAAAAACACAGCAGAGATATACCAGGATTGCCGTATACCGGGAATCCGCCATTACAATCCTGGAAAAGGGAAAAAGAAAAAGGAAAAAAACGTACAAAACCGTATTAAAACATCCCAACCAACTACGAATAAGGGAAGAACTAGTTGAAACCAAATCAATAAAAACAAATGACATTATAAAGTTAGGAGATGATAAAACAGTAGAAAATAAGATGAACTTGAACTTGGTAAATAAAAAGATTGGTAGACGATCTTAACTTGGTGAGCAAGAAGATATGTTATATATATTTTTTAAAGGTTACGTTATTTGAATATTGTATTATTATAACTTTCCTACATTTAATATTATATTATGGAGGTCAATGTAATTGCATAATATTAGAAGTTAAATTACATAATTATAAAATGCTATATATAGAAAACAATTTAAAATAAAGTTGTTTTGACCCTGAATTTGATTTAAGCTTATGGAGATATAAAAGAATGATGATACTGATTAATTCATGCCATTTAATACGAATTCACATGATAATCATAAAACCTATATTATTAAAGCTTTAAACAGTTTTATTTAAATGTCGAGTAGAGCATTCCAATTATCAATCAAAATGTATTAAAATTTTAAACGGACCAATAATTTCACTATTGCTGATTTAACAATGTATTTTTAAAAAAATAGATTTCACAAGCAAACACAAGTTGTTAATGTAATGCAATAAAAATGGATATAGTGTGTTAAATTAATACTTTTACTTAAGTGATATAATGATATTTAGAGTTTGGAATTTTCTTAAACCTTTTTTATTCCATAAAGGCAGTTGGTTTGGGAGAATTTTAGGGTCCTTGACTGAATTAGATTTATCATGGGATTTCTTAAAGAGAGCTTCGAGTGACAGGAAAGTTTTCAAACATATTTTGAGACTTATATATGAACATATGACGAATACATGCTGAGGACTTATATTTCTTGTAAAGGAGTTTCCCAAAGAAATTTATATCATTATTGGAACTAATAACTTAAAGTTCAAGCCTCTATTTTAAAGTAATTAAATTGTTTTTTAATTATTGGTGATTAAATTAAACTATATTATACAGGGTATAAATTAATTCTTAAAGATATGGAGTTGCATTTGGTTATTTAGTAAATTGATAATGGCCCCTTTAATATCCCTTATTGAAATATTTAATTTAAATTAATATTCATTGTATTTGGAAGATTTCTTTTTTTTAAAATGACTTTCTATTTTTATTCTACTTCTCATTATAACTTATTTATATATCTACTTCCTGCTAATTTTAAATTTGCTACTTTATTGGTAGAGGGTTTAATTCCACTCATAATTATTTTCTGGGTAATAAGTTTGTCGGTACCCTGAGAAAAAAATCGGCTAAATTATATGAAGGATAGGCCTTCATATAATTCACGTTCGCTCATTTTGGGCAGGTCTATGACCAACGTGCAATATAAGATAAGAGAATTATTCCTTTTTTGAAATTTTATAATTTTTTAAAAATGGCAATTGGCTTATTTTGTATTTAATTTTTTATATTCATTATATAACACACCTTATACACAATTATAATTTAGTATTTTCATATTATATATATTTGAAACAAATAAATATGTTTTAAAATGATCTAATAAATTAAGAAAAATAAAATCAGATATTAGTATTAATTCAATTTGGTAACTCTAAAACTGTACATTTCCTTATTTTTTATAGCTATTCTGATAAATTTTTAATTTATTAAAAAAAATAACTTAAAACTAGTAGATTTGTTGATGAAATATACTTTAGAGTAGTTGCTCTTGCTATAGGATCATTGCTATATGAAAGAGTGAATATATGTTTCAACAATTCATCAACATTTAATATTTTATCAATGTGCTTATAGCTTTGTTGGAAGACTGTGAATATTAAGTGTTTCAAATAATTGGATCTGTATATATTTATTTAGTTTATATAAATTTTCAGAAATGTGTGCATACAATATATATAATACCTTATAAAATTGTCTATTCATATTATACTAGTAAAATTCTGTAGGGTAAGCCCATTAGCTCAACCCCAAAATTATCAATAAAATATAGGCCCAGTCTGTCCCCCCAAAAATATTGTTGCTATATTACCTCCTTATTATTCCCTTATTGCTTGATTGAATATCACAATCATAAAATGAATTCAAAGAAATAGGAAAAGTTTTAGAAGGTGAGAAAAATTTACTATTAATTTTCATGTAATAATAAATAGAATGAAATAGATATGCATAATTAAATTATCAAAATTAATACTGAATATTTAAATTTTATTCATAACATTTATAAAGTAAAGAGAATAAAATAAAATTTTGGAATATGAGATTTCTTTTCTATAAGAGACTGAGCTTAGATTTAGAAAAAAAAAATCATTATCGGGAGGTACAAAAATACAAATAGAATCTAATATATGCATTATTTGTATTTGTACAAATTGTTCTTATTCATTTTGTGTGAATAATAAAAACATTATTTAATTTGATTCATGAGATATTTGATTCAAAAATTAAATTAAAAATATTTTCAAATATGAAAAATCGATTATTAAAATTTTAAAAAAATGCAGGAACCTGTTAAATAATTAAAAATAATTTTAAATATTTATGAATAAACAAATAATTTTAAACATGTACAAATTATTTTGAAAAATTTTTAAATAAAAAATTAATTTAATTAAATAAAAAATTATTCGATAGATAATGTATATGTTGTATTCCATATCAAATCAACTGAAGATTCAACCCAACCCCCTTCGATTTTTTTTAAATTTTGTATGAAGTTAGTATTAGTAAAAATATAAAATTTTAATTCTCAACTCAGCTTACTTCATGAGATATGGCCATCTTTAGAAATGCGGAAATTCCAAAATACACTATATTTAATTATAAATATTTCAAAAAGTAATTAAGCTAAAGACATGATTTTAATTTTATTAAATAGCTCAAGAATGGCTCTTTAATATAACATAAAATTTAATTTATTGAAAAAAAGTCTATTACCAAAAACCGGAAATGGCTATAAAATAAAAATTGCTCTTTTTTTCTTTTAAATTTGTATTTTACAGATAGACATTATACTTCTTAATATTTGTACAAAATCCTAGATTGGGACGAGTACTGGGTCAATAGTTATTACACTTTAAATATAAGTAGTATGGCTTAAATCCTATATTATACCAAATATAGAGTAATTATTTTTTTAAAAAAGTGGGCAATATATGTGAATATTAGCATTAAAACTAAAATCCTAAAAAATCTGATTATTTTACATTTATTAAATGTTAAAAAACTCAAAACAACATTTACTAAATTGTATTGTATTATTTTAAATATAACGCAAAACGCCTTTATTTGGAGGCATTATAAGGAATAAATAATAAGATTTTGTAAAAAGTAACAACTATGATAATAAAAAGTGAGCTCAATAATCTCTTCACCCCAACCTAAAGATTATATTCGTCCCAAATTTTTTCTTAATTTGATATTTTTTGACCTGGCAACTCTGTGAGTGAATGATGAAGTTTATTTTTCATTGTCAGATAATTAATTATTATTGGATCGTCAGAAATATATTTTCATTTTAAAGATTATTTTAATCTATGTAATAATGAATTAAAATAAAATAATTATATTATATTTGGCACCATTTATGATTTATTACTGCGAAGGCGATATCATCAAACATTTAGGTTACGTGATTATATCAGATCACAATACTTGTTCCTTTCATTTATTTCAAATAAAATTAATTCTATTCTTGAGAGAAAGATTTGATAAGATTTCAATAATATTTTATTTTTCTGATGGAGCTGTTACCCAGTATAAAAACAAAAAAAAACTTTGTAAACCTCTACAACCATTATAATGATTTTGGCAACTGCAGATGGCAAAACTTCTTACAATAGTTTAGGGGGAATTACTAAGAGGTTGGTGGCTAGAGCAAGCCTGCAACGTCCTCATGAAAATCATATAATAACTCCTATTGACTTAAATAATTATGTGAGAATCAATATCCCGGTAATTAATTATATATTTGTTAGCAACGTAGAATATTTAAGAATGGAAATCAATCATGAAAATAGATTTCTAATGGCCAAATGAATTCCATGGACACAAAAATATCATTCATTTATTCCAATGGAAGGAAAAATGAAAGTCAAATTTTATTCTAATTCATTAGATTATTTAATGTATGATATTATTTAATTAATATGTTTATTAGAATATTAATTTCCAATTAATTAGCTAAATAAAATTATAAATGCTTTTACAATTATTTTCCTTCTAAAATAAAATAGCTAAACTTATGTGCTAAATATGACACAATGTCTACTAGTGATCTGCATAAGGCCTAATTTTTCTAACATGGACAGAAAGATTTATAAAAAAATATACCCGGCCCAATCCCAAATGTATTTTCTTTTTATTTGTTTCGTAAATTACTATATATTTGGTATAATATAGGATTTAAGCCAACTACTTATATTTAAAGTGTAATAACTTTTGGCCCAGTACTCATCCCAGTCTAGGATTTTGTACAAATATTAAGTATAATGTCTATCTGTAAAAAAAAATTAAAAGAAAAAAAAGAGTAAATTTTATTTTATAACCATTTCTCTATTTCGGTTTTTGGTAGTAGACTTTTTTTCAATAAAATAAATTTTATATCATAATAAAGAGCTATTTGATAAAATTTAAATCATGTCTTTAGTTTAATTACTTTTTGAGATATTTAAAATTAAATATAGTGTATTTTGGAATTTCCGCCTTTCTAAATATGGCCATATCTCATAAAGTAAGGCAATTTGAAAAGTAAAATTTTACATTTTTATTAATTAGTGTATATACTAACAACATGCACATTTCTAAAAAAATCAAAGGGGGTTGGGTTGAGAATCGACTTTTTTGGTTGATTTAATACGGAATACAACATATATTATATTTATCTGTTCGAATCAAATAATTTTATTATATGTATATGTAAAATATGAATCAAATCAAATAACTTGTCTTAGGTATACTCAGGTGGCAAGTAAGCTTGCTGGAAAATCCTGATCCTCAGTATTCAAATTTAAAAATTAGCTAAGCTGGAAAATAATTTGTTTAGCACATTTTTATAATTCAAGATTTTGCCAAACATGTATTCCAGTAAAGTAAAACACATATCTTATAATATAAGATAATTTGAACAAGATTTTGCATGAAATTATGTTATTTACAATTTATATATTAAAATTACATGGATTGCATGAAATGTTAACCAGGCATTATGTTAATTGCCTGATTAAGATTAAATTTATAACTTTGAGCTAAATATATATGTAACTAAATTATACCCTGTTCTATAAAAATTAGCAAGTTTAAGATAAGCAGCATTTATGAATATTGGAAATGGATATTTATCAAAAAATTGGAGAAACTTTACAATTGCCTGACATTGATCACCAATAAGCATAGAATGCAAACCTAAATATGAATTTTTTTAAATATATAATTAATAAACCTTTTATATCTTATAATAAAAAGCAATTAGATTAGAATTTAAGTGACTAAAATATTAATTTAAAATGATAAAAAATATTTTTATCAATCATTTTATAAGTTTTTTATTTATTTATTTTAGAGATACACTAGAAAATGCAACAATAATATATATATATAAATAGTTTCTACCTCTATCTAATTCCATAAGAGCAGAATTCGCTTCCCCTTCTGATATTGATATCTCATTACTAGATAAATTATATGTCTTGATCATTTCAAAAATTTAAATATTTTAGACCGAGCACTAAAAGGTTACAAAGGAATATTTTTATAAATTATATAATATGTAATATTTAACATTTTGGGCGTGGGGTCTGCTGTTTTTTACAGCCCCTTATAAACGTATTGCCCATGCATACAATTACGTGCGGCTTTCCCATTAACATCTGAAGGGCTCCTCATTTATTTTTTCCCCCTAAATTAATATCCAGCTGATCTTGAGGAAAACCTAAAGTAGCTCTGTTGCTTGTCAACACGATTACTTAGCGTTAAAATAAGGTATCACGTATTTGATATTGCCTCAACCACCTACTTTACTTAGTTCTAAATAATTCTGTCAAATAAATTATACATTTTAAGATATTTCTGTATAAATAGAATTTTTATCATATATCATCAATTTAATAAGAAACAAAGCTTTAATCCATTATTCATGGGTTGAGCTTTAAATTATTATAATTATAGGAAAACTTTGTTGTTAAGCAAAAGTAATTATTATTCTCTTATTTTTCTAAATATAAAAAGTAATTATATGACTTAGAGCATGATTTACATATCTAAAGAAATATCTATTTTATCAAATGCCTTAAAACAAATGAAAAATACTAATCTATCATTTCAAATTCGAAGGACATTTGCTACTATAGAAATAGATATATATATATAACACCTTAAACTTTGGTAAAAATTAATCGGAAAATTAGAATTTATTTTAACTTGTTCTAGCGGAGTTAGGGACATAATATCATTATTAGCTTAGAGGAGTATATAGGTTTCTGTAGACACTAACTAATAATACAAAATGAATACAAAAAATATAATACGCATTTTAGTAAATATGGAACCAGAGTTGTACATTTGCTCAAAATAAAAAGATCTTCAAAGATCTAAAAATTTGAAGATCTTTTATTTTTTAAAAATTTTGTGTAACGATCTTCAAAGATCTTCATGATATTTATTTTTTTACCCCTTTATTAAAAGCCCAGATGTTTTTCAATTTTATTAATATAATATTTCTTTTATGTTTTATACCTCTCCTCCTGCCTTGATAAAAATTGAAAAACATCTGGGCTTTTAATAAAGGGGTAAAAAAATAAATATCATGAAGATCTTTGAAGATCGTTGATCGCAAAGAAGATCTTTTGTACAACTCTGTATGGAACGAACCTTATCGAAATCGTCGAGCTATAAAAAATCCAGAATTGGCCTAAAATATACAAATAGACGTTATAGATTTCCAGGATAATAAGGAATATTATATTAGTTTATTTTTAAATATTGGTCACCCTCTAAACAACACAATTAGGTTTTGCTGAAAAATCTATTATTAATCATATATTTCGATAACAACATCATAATAATCAACATATAAAATCCCTAACACCAGCCATCATTCTAGAACTTTACTCCATCTCCAAAGCCCACATGATCCAGATTGATGATTCGTTCGGCTGCTAATCACTACATCTCCAACCACTCTCTATCCAATTCAAAACATCCTTGTACAGTTGAAAACTTTGGATGGTCCCCATTAAACTTTGAACGGTCTTCGAGGATCCCGTTATCACTTGGATGGCATCGCGGTCACCAATAACCAATTCTGGACCTACAATTGTCACTAATCGTACCCAGGTGGACAGTCCACAAGGCGTTAAACGTTTAACTTGATTAATCCGTTAATGCATGAGCCACCATGAGGTTTGTAACCACCACCACCAATTCCCTCTTTATCCCAACTACTCTTCCTTATTATCATTAACTTAATAGTCATCATCAATGTCCATTTTGATAGTACTCATAGCTGGACTATCCCCTTTTAATTTGAATCTGCAAGGCAACTAACCCCCTAGTATGTCCAATGGACAACACCGGTTGATTTTTGTAACTGGTAACCCAATCTTTTATCTGAGCACCTACTCCAGGTCCTCAGGTTCACATTGACTCTAAGGCACGTATGATTACTATGGCTGAAAACCCAAAGTCCCATCGTAATTTTATAATTAAGTCTAATTATACAGAATCTTTTATCAGTAACCATTTTCCCAATATGTCTATATTAGTAAGATTTTTTATCATTCAAAATGTCCAAATTAGCCAAGTTCTTTTATTAGTTAATTCCCCAATGTGTAAACATAAATCATATTCAATAATTCCAATTACCATGTCACTATATCAATAGTATTCATGTTTTTTATTTATTATTTACCACAATGTTCCATTTTTACTGAGTAAATTTTTTTTTAGTTAATTTCATATCATCACTATTAAAAATAAATTCCCAAATTAATTCACAAATTTTCCATAATCTCAAAATCATATTTGATTCCATTTACCACTTTGTTCATGTTAGATGGTTCTTCATATTTAATGAATATTTTCCATGAGCAATAAAATTCTAAATAATTACCCAAAATCCAATAATTATTCTATTCATTCTTCATTTGTGCCAAATTCAGTATTTATTGTTCCATTTAAATGATTTATTCATCCTTTTGTTTGCAATCTCCTTATTATTTTAGATCTCAATAACATGCCCTTATATTAATCAGCACGATTATATTTAATCAGCATGAATAATTATTATTTATTTATCACCAAACAATTAAACTATGCATATACCATTTTCCTAATTCAGACAATCATTCATAAGTTCAATATTTTTATTTTCCCCATTCAGATTTCTTTTTTCATTAACATATAAATATATTGCAATCAAATAAAACATTTATACAAATAGTATTAATCATATATATTATGAGAACAATATTACAATGATCATTATATAAAATCCATAAAAGCAGCCATCATTCTAGAACTTTACTTCATCTCCGAAAACCAGATAATCCAGATTGTAGATTCTTCGATATCCACCTCCGTGTTCGGTAGCTAATCACTACAGTTTGCCTACTTTATTTTTATTATTTTGAACAAAACAGGGAAATCTAGATGCTGATTGCCCTTCTTCATATTCATTTGACCAATCTCTCTTATCATATAGATATTTTTCTCTGGGTTTTAAATTATGCGAATGCTATTTTTTTAGAAATTTTTTATTTTTATTTTTTAAGAATTATTTTATAAATTAACTAGAAATTTAGGGGTTGCCATGCCATGAATTTTTGATGAATAGCTTCATGATTCTCCAACCTCCCATAAGTTCTATTGGAAGACTTTGAGCTCGCCATTTGCAGGTCTTTACCTGAAATGCATTTTTTAAAAGATAATTTTGGTTTACACTTTAAAAAGGTTCTTAAAAATTTTAGTTATAATTAAAGATCTGCACAAGTAGGCCAGGCCTAATTTTTTTAAAAAAAATTTGGTTCGGGTTGGGTCGGGTGTAACATATTTTTTTAAAAATCGGGCCGTTGAAAAAATTTTAAAATATAATTATTCAGGAGCAAATATTTTTTTTGTAAAATAAAATATTTTACTTTATTTGGGGAAACTAAAAGCCATATCATGTATCATTTATTTTGTGTATAATATTTTTCAATTTATTTTTTCTAAGAAACAGGGCGCTAACATTTTTATTTGGAAAATAAAAACATTTAATTTTATTTATTTGGAAACTAGCGCCATCTGACATATACCTTTTATTTTGGGTATAAAAATGAAAAAATAAATAATAATTTTTTTATAAAATCTAAATTATAATTTTTTTTATATAATTTAAAATATAATATATAAATTAAAAAATTAATGGATAAAATTTTTTTTTAAAAATCACACAAAGAATGGGACATATAATTATATGCCCCATTTAGGATGAAGCAAAATATGGGAAAATTTTGAAGATATTTTTAATGATAAAAATAAAAAATTTGACTATGTTAAATGTAAAAAATGTAAAGTATATTACAATATAAAAGTATATTTGGTAATTATTACTTAAGATATCACGAGTAAGAATGACGATTCATCAATTCCTAAAATAACATAGTATATTTAAAAGAAAACTATAGATTTATGATCTACTATTTAGCCAAGGACATATGTGCTATTGACTCGATAACCGGAGATGGCAAGCTCAACATTTTATTCTAATTGGCTCTATTTATGGTAATACTAGCGAGATTATTCCCCATCCAACTACTTTATCAAGAAATGCGATAGTTATGACAGATCAAATTAGAATAAATTTGGTGAATAAAATAAATGGTCAATCACTTTATAAAAACTGGTCTGCTACCATTGATATCTGAACAAATTCCTTCAAAAAGTTTCCTATTTGACCGTTTCTATTCATTATATCGAAGGTGAAACTTTATATAAACATGTTTTATTTACTAATAAGTTTAAAGAAGAGAAAAATACGGCTGAGAACATACATAGCTATGAATTTTTCCGCAATTGGAATAATTCTCGATCAAGTGAAAAATATAATATTTATATCTGATCAAGGAGCTAACTAATATAATTGAGCCCTAGAAAAATATACCAGATTAAATAACAGCACACATCTGTTAAGTACAGCTCATCAAAATAACTTTAAGGAACAATCCTTGGAAATTATTGCTCTTAATATATATTAAACCCTAATTTCTACTAAAAAATCAACCAAAACAAAGCGGCTTGAATCAATTTTTGGAAAAAACATTACAGATGGAATTCGATACTATATATGTTGAAATCTATTTATAAATATGATAAAATCGTCAATTTTTTCTCATCCGATATTATTTATAAAATATAAAAATTGGAGAATATTTTTTTTTAAATTTGATTGATATTTTATACTTTTGATAAAGTTATTAAAGACTAGAAGGAGATACTAAGCCTATTTTATATAAAGTACTGTTATGCTTTAATAATATTCTTCACGAGGATTTAAATGATATTTTTTAATAAAACAGTGAAATAAAACAAATAAAAACCAATTTAAAATTTTTTTTATTATCTATAGCTAAAATTTTTACTCGTGTGTTTTTATTGATTGTTTTGACTAGCTATAAAAATGGGTTTGTACATTAGTAATCACATTCTCAATGACCAAAGCGGAATTCGATTCGGTATAT